GAGAGACAGATTGCCTATTTCTGCAGCTGGTGCTGCCGGTAGAGACAGCATCATGTATTGAGTTTTTACTATGTAAAAGGCACTATATTACCTGCTATACCAACAATATCTCATTAAGTTAGTAACAACCCTATGCAGAAAATATTAGCCCTGATATAAAGGACTGTCAAGATCTAAAAATTCTGACCAAAGCCACAAAGAGACAGACATAGGTTATAACAAAATCCACAGCCTTAAACTCTATGTTATGCTAAATAGATTTCATGAACTTCCTTTTGAATAAAACCTAATGAAGAAAAGACTTCAAATCAGGTGGTATACACTCAATGAGATAACAACTGTTTGGACCAGACAGACCAAGGCTCAGATCCCTGATCTCACTATTCTGTCTTCCAAGGGAAAAATCCCCACCCAGAGCCTTTGTCTCTGAGGGAGTGGCCAGGATTTGCACAGCAAACACTGTTCTCACAGGGCAATAAGGCACCAGACCAGGAAATTCCTAAGCAATGTAGGAGACAGGCTGGATAATCAGATTCTCTGCTCGGGCATTTGAACTGAGCACCTGGAGATAATCCAGTTCCAATCAGGAGCCAAAGCTGAGTCATGGTCATGGGAGCTGGCTCTGTGTACAATAAAGAGAAAAGCATAGACATGGAGAAAAGAAGATTGGAAGAAGGAGAGTTAGGAAAGAGGTCATTAAAACAAAACAAAACAAAACAAAGCAATAAAGATGGCAGGTGAGATAAATTTTAAAAGAGTGAAATCAGGTTGGGAAAGAACATCCAAGTAGAAAACCAGTATTTTTACTTGTACCCTTCAAAGCCTGAGAGAAGAGTGGCTTCATTTTGATTTCCCTCATTTTTTAATAGTAGCTGTACCTTCTCCACCAGAGTCATGTATCTTTTCTTCTCTTGGGTATGTGATGTTTCTATTAAGTAAGGTGACTCAATACTCTTCTACCCTATTATTGCTTTTATTGAAAAGACAAACCTAATCTACTGGGCGATCTTTAATGTTGTTCTTTTTTATTATTTTTGCATCTTATGGCAGTGATTTTTAGAAATAATCTTAGATTGAGTCCGTGGTCCAATTATCTGTAAGGAGCTCTACATTCTTGAAAAAATATTCCATTTGTTTTTGAAATGTATTCTTCCAATCATAAGAGCACTCAGGATTAGGTGAAATATGTAAAGTAGACATCAAACTTCTGTATTTGCCCACATCCTAAGAAAACAAAAAACATTGGTATGCACACAAAAAAAGGCATTTCCTTAGTTTTTCTAAAAAATATATTTGCAAGGTAGAGGTTGAATGGGGAATAAAAGGAAAAAATAGCTGGAAATTGCCTAAAATCAAGGATATAAATCCAATGTACCATAGATAAATATGTCAACCTTGGCTCTAAAAACTGTAGAGTCCATCAACCATGCAGATCCATGATGGAAACAAGTGAGCACAAAATATAAAAATGGGAGGGCAGTGAGGCAAGAGGAAAGAAGAAGTTACCCTATTTTAATTTCACAAAGCAAAACCAAAGGTTTGGAGCAGATAAATGCTCTTACCTTTTTAAGATGGAGCTCTCTTTTCTTTATCTCAATGATTATAGTCTAGTGTGATCTATAATTACTTGTATAACATCTTTCTTTTGGACTTAGAGGAAATCCACAGTGTACACATTTAGAGTTATATATTTAAATATGGAGTTGAATCCATACTAGCAAACTAGGAGTTTAACTCCTTACTAGCAAACCTTTTCCCAGGAAATGAGACCAATTCTAAAGTACTGCAATTATACTTAGTTATACAAGAGATTGAATGTGCTGGAAAACTTGTAACTCAACCTTCATTCCACTTTTTCCCTTGCACCTCTGATCCATTCATTTACTTAATTCATCAAATACTCTTTGAATGTTCGCTGTGTGCTAAGGCAGCGTATTTTAGAGACCAGGGATAGATTAAATAGCCAAGAATCCTTTATGAATTTCATATTCCTACATTTAATGTGTACAATATACCCCAAATGTATAATTTTTTCTGCCTCCCCGACCACTACTCCATTGCTACAAACTAAGGCCACCATCATTTCATTGTTTACATATCTCAACAACTTCATACTTGGTGTACTACAGCTTCCTAATATACATTTTTCATAGAATGAAGTGATGTTTTTAAAACATAAGCCACACCTATAACACTCCCTAGGTTCAATTCTTCCAAAATCATCCCACTGCACTTAGAACAAAATCCAAACACCTTACAGGACCCACAACCTTACAGGACCCACACTAGTTGCCACATAAGCCAGCTGCTGTTGACTTCTCCAGGCCCTTCCTATGCTTCCCCTGCCCACTCTGTTCCAGCCACACGGGATTTCTTTCTGTTTCTTGAACCACAAAATGTATGCTATTGCTAGAGCCCTTGCACTTTATTTTCTCTGTCTGGGGCACTTTGCCAGATATTGCTCACATGTATAGGTTCCTGTGTGCCATTTGGCTCTCAGATTGCCTCTTCAGGGAGATCCTCCCAGACTAGTCATCTAAACCAAGGTCCTTCCTCCAACCCTGTATACTCCTACTTTATTTCCTGTATAGAACTTATTCACCACCTGAAATTATTTTCTTATATTTACCTAATTGTTTCCCTACCCTGCCATGACAGACATATACACCAGATTATAAATTCTACCCAAGAGGGCTGTTGCCTTTATTATAACTCACTAAACTATCTCCAAAGGCCAATTGTGTCAGGAAGATAGTAGATTCTCAATAAATATCTGTTAAGCATTCATTATTTGGCCAAAATTTTCATTCTTGATCTCACTTTTATCCCCTTCACCTATCCTTCTATCAAATAAACGCAATGAGCTAATTTTGGAATTGAATTCTTAAAAACTCAATAAGTAAATTATACCTACTAAGTTCCAAGTATCTAAATAGGCCAAAGGTAAAAATATTTTTCAGCTAGTTAAGCAGAAGAAGAGAGGACACAAATTATCAACATCAGAAATGGAAAAGGGGGACAGCGCTATAGATCACACTGGACACCAAACGGATAATGAAGAAATACTATGAACAACTCTATGTCCACAAATTTAATAACCAATGTGAAATGGACCAGTCCCTTGAAAGACACAATCTATCATAACTAACATGAGAAGAAATAGATAAATAGACCTAACTCTATTTTTAAAAACGAAAAAATAATTAATAACCTTCTGAAACAGCAAGGCCCAGATGAATTCATTGGTGAATCTACCAAACATTTAAGGAAGAAATTATACCAATTCTTTACAATTTCTTTCAGAAGATAGAAGCAAGCAGATGGAACACTTCTTGACTCATTCTGTGAGGCCAAAATTACTCTCACACCAAAACCAAACACATTACAAGAAAAGAAAACTACAGACCAACATGCCTCATGAACTAGATATAAAAGTCCTCAACAAAATATTAGCAAATTGAATCCAACGATGTATATAAAGAATTATACATATACAATCAAACGGATTCATCCCAGGTATGTGAGGCTGATTCAATGTCCAAAAACTAATGTAATCCATCACATCGACTAAAAAAGAAAAAAAAAAAATCACATGATCCTATCAATAGATATTTTAAAAGCACTTGCTTGAAAAATCTATGACCCATTTATGATTTAAAAAAAACTCCCAGTAAATAGGAAGTGAAATTTCTCAACTTGATATAAAAGATCTACAAAACCCGACAGCTAACTTCATAAATGGTGAGTAACTTGAAGCTTTCCCACTAAGATCAGTAACAAGGCAAGGATTTCCCCTCTACACCATTCCTTTTCAACACTGTACTGAAAGTCATAGCTAATGCAACAACACAAGAAAAGGAAATAACAGGTATACATATTGGGATGGAAGAAATAAAACTTTGTTTGCAAATTATATTATATGACATTCTGAAAAGGCAAGACTATGAAGACAATAGAAAGATCAGTGACTGTCAATGAGGTAAGGGGGAGGGAGGGAATAGAGAGGGTACAGAGGATGTTTGTGGCAGTGAAAATTCTCAATATGATACCATAATGATGGATACACGTCATTATACATTTGTCCAAACCCACAGAATGTACAACCAAGAGGGAGCCCTAACATAAATTATGAATTTTGGCTGATAATCATGTGTCAATGTGGGCTCATCAGATGTAACAATATTCTACTTTGGTGGAGGGAATGTTGATAATGGAGAAGACTATGCATGTGTAGGGATGGGGCCAGATGGGAAATCTCTGTACATTCTGCTCAATTTTGGTCTGAACCTAAAACTGCGTTAAAAAAGGTAAAAGTCTACTAAAAAATTATTTTTCAATCTTACACTTACTATAGTCTGTGTAGTCTGAGGAAGATAGACCGTTATTTGCTTTGGCTTTAATTAGGAAAGCATCACATTGTAAGGAGAAAAATTAGAAATTAACGACAGAAGGATCAGGCAGGAATAGATTACAAAGGCTTAAAATATTGTCCTGATGAAAAAGTCTACATGTAAAACTGACCTTGGGTTTGCCCTTTCTAGCTGCAAATTCAGACAGACATGTGTCGGTATCATCGTGGTTCCTTACTAAGTAAAGAGAAATGTATTCGAGGGTCTCCAAAGTGGTAAAAATGGGCCAGGAATATAGAGACAAAAATGAATCTAAGACCATGAGGTTAGGAGCATTTCAAAGAACTACCAAGGATCCTTCCCAGAGCAAATAGTAAAACTGAAGGTATATGTTCTCAAGAAGACTTATAGACCAGGGGAAGTCATGGTCAGCTTTGCGCAACCATATCCCAAAGACAGATTGCCATAGCCATTGTCATTAAGAAACCTACCATCTTTTTCTAGAAAGACGATGCTTCCTTAAATTATGTCACTGGACCTCTTGTCACTGATCTCTTGTAAATCCCATCCAGACCGCCAAAAACACATTCACTTTGAAATACTGAAAAATATTTTGTGTGTGCATAAGTTTTTATTTTAATTCCAGTTGACAAAAATGTGGAACACTTCATGCATTTGCACATCATCCCTGTGCAGGGACCGTATTAATAATCTTCTCTGTATTGTTCCAATTTTAGAATATGTGCTGCTGAAGCACTCACTTTGAATTTTAAAAGCACTCTTCTAAAAATATGTTTGGTTACAGAAGAAATTAAAAGTTAAATTACTCTTAAAACTTACTGTTTGCAAATGGCCAACAATGAAAGTACTATATTACACAAACTGCATGCTCTAGTCAAAGAGGTACCCAGAACCTGCACATATTTACTAGGAAAAAAGATATGAAAGTGAACCAACTAGGCAGTTAACTTAAGGAAGTAGCAAAGGTCAAACAAAAGAATTCTAAATAAAATGAAAAGAATTCGGGGCACCTGGGTGGCTTAGTCGGTTAAGCGTCCGACTTTCGCTTAGGTCATGATCTCGCGGTTCGTGGGTTCGAGCCCCGCGTCGGGCTCTGTGCTGACTGCCAGCTCAGAGCCTGGAGCCTGTTTCAGTCTGTGACTCCCTCTCTCTCTGACCCTCCCCTGCTCAAGCTGTCTCTCTCTCTCTCCTAGAAATAAATAAAACATTAAAAATTTAAAAAAAAAAAAAAAAAGAAAAGAATTCACAAAGAAAGAGCAGAATTTTATTAACTGGATAATAAAAATAATAAGCAATCAATAATGCCAAAGATTTTTTCAGAGTAATAGAGCAAATAAACTTCAGGCAAATTCTGATCACACGAGTAATATAAAGAAATGAAGCATAAATAATAGAGAGGACCAGCTAAATGGTCATTACATAAAGAAAGGATAATTTACCTAGAAACAAAACAACTTCCAATTATAAGGTAGGGTGACTAGTATAAGACAAATATGGAATTAAAAACCTTCTATTTTCACATTGGCAATAATAATTATTTAAAAATGGAATAAAAGGATTCCATTCACAAGTGCCAGAAAAATTTAAAAAGGTCTAAGAACAAACTCAATAATGGAGCGCCTGGGTGGCTTAGTCGGTTAAGCGTCCGACTTTCGCTTAGGTCATGATCTCGTGGTTCGTGGGTTCGAGCCCCGCGTCGGGCTCTGTGCTGGCTGCCAGCTTGGAGCCTGGAGCCTGTTTCAGTCTGTGACTCCTTCTCTCTCTGACCCTCCCCTGCTCACGCTGTCTCTCTCTCTCTCTCTCCTAGAAATAAATCAAACATTAAAAAAAAAAACTCAATAAGATATATGCTAGACTTATAAGAAGAAAACTGTACTTAAAAACATAAAAATGACCTGAAAGGAGAAATAAACCATGTTCATAGATGGAATGACTCAATGATTTAAAGATAGCAGTCCTCACCAAGTTAATCTAAAAAGATCAAGAAAGAAAATTTTAATCAAAATCCAAATGTGACTTTTTAAATCAAACTTGAAAATCAAATCCAAAAATTTACCTGGAAGATAACGCAAAGGAGAGTAATGTTCTGCTGAATAATAAAACATGCTATAAAGGTAGAATCTAACTACTATACCATCAAAGTGGAAGATAAAACATCGGTCTGCAGCCTGCAGAAATAAGCCGAGAGAGAGAGACAGACAGACATATATGTATATGTGTAGATATGTTACTATAAAGTTGGCAATCCAAGTCGTGGGAAAAGAATCTGTTTAATGGCACTGGGCAATGAAGAGTCACTTAAAAATAACTTAGACACTTACAATTATAAATAAAATGAACTAGTTATATTAACCAAATTTGCAGGTTACCTAATCAGCATTATTTCATGACATCTTCTAGGGATCTTTATCCACTTGGCATGGAGAAGACAAAGCAGTTGGTGGATCACTATGCTTGAGAGCAATGCCACTGAGGTCAACAATTATAGATTCAAGATTTTCCCAATAGTAAATATTTATCCCTATTTTGAGATCACTTTTCAAATTATATTTCAAAAAATAGGATCCCTGGGAAATCCAGGGACCAAATTAAGTAATAGAGATACAAAGACCAAGACCGCCTCATCCTGACAGGCATACTACAGAAACCCTTGAGTTTCTCCTTTGCTTCCTATTTCCACTGCCACTCCAGCTACTACAAGTTTCCCCACTCTTCCAATTTCCAATTTGTACCCCACATTCTAGAGCTGATATAATTTTTTCTAAAGAATTGCTTTAATGATATGAGTACGCAGATCAGAAACACTCATCCATGATCTACTGAAATAAACTAATGACTAGCCCAGCATTCAACACCATCCAAACTTCTTTTCCATCCCTCTTTCTCACAGCCCCCCTCTCTGTGTGCAGACCCCTCCCACTCAGATCACAGATTACTTGGATGTGATCTATTTTGAGTGCCTGCTTTCCTTTAAATCCCTCAAGTACCTTCTATCTCTCTGTGGCATTTACTTTACTCTGATTTCTTTTGTTAAATAAGTCTTATTCCTCCCACTCTCTCCATTAGATGTTAACATTTTTAAGCCAGAAGTTGTATCTTGTTCCTCTGTGTCTTCCTAGTAGGACAAAGTCATGAGTACATGTTAGGTACTCAAAAAATAAGGCTAAACTGAATGGACTTCAGTATCCAATATAATTACCCTCTTGCTTCCTAAAGAAACAAGACACATAATTTCTACAGCAACATCTGAAGTAGCTAGCTAAAATAATGTAGCATTCATCCTGAGTGCACTCAGATAATGTAAAATTTTTGGTAATATTTACTAACTTGTAAAATCTGGCTAATTTATGTCACTTTCTTGAGATGTCATGCATACTCTAGTATGCCTGTCTCTTCATTAAAATTTCTTTTAATTCAACACAATGCCCAGATTGATTCTGAGTGGACTTGTACTTGACCATTTATTTACATAAATTGAGCGTTGGTCTTATTAGTAGTTATTCAGCTTTTCAGCATCCAGGGTGTGGTCACTCCATTCATGGCATAAGCATACATAAAGTTGTCTCCACATTGTCAGCATAACGTAAATAGAGATATACATGTGAATCACGATCACAAACGCATAAGTAACCAGATAACCTTTCACAAAAGAAAGAAACAGTACACGGTAAAACCGAGTTGAGATGACTATTCCACTGACTCCATCACCTCTTTTCCCACTGTGCTCTGTGGAAAGACTCCGTGAGGAATCTGAATAGTTCTGGAACTCTGGAATTCCCAGTGCAGAAAGGCAATGGGATGCAATTAACACCCTACATTTTTTTATTAGCTCACACCACAGGGAAGAGATGTCTAAAAGGCCATTTAAGTTCATTATAAAATTCTAGCAACCATAATTATAACTGCATAACTGCAAAATATTTCTCTCATTGTCAAAAAAAAAAAAAAAGGCGGCTATGATGCATGCTGTCTGCTTGTTTTGGGATGCAGTTATTAACCTTTAAGAATCTTTTCTAGGATATGAGCCTCTTTCCTTGGCAAATGCATCTTGAGACTGTGACTTAATCAAAATCCTAACTCCTGTCTTAGACAATGTTGACATTCCAATCCCTGTCATAAAAACACCCTGAACAATACCAGACACAGGAATTTCAGGACTTTTCTGTTTTTAATTGGCAGCTAAAAAATAATTTTTAGAAGTCACAGAAATGAAAGGCTACCTTATTCTCCAACACACATGAAAAGAAAAGCATAATACGCAGGCTGATTACTCAACAGCAAATCATCACAAACGCAAGGGAAGACCTGATTGCTGTTTCCATAGCAATGACTTTATGTGGTTTAACTCTTCTGGGAATTTAACCAAATCCCCAGTAACAGGGGAGGATCATCAGCAAAAATTTTGTAACATATGGCAACTGCCAACACATCAGTGAGGGAGAAATACTTCTATTTTCTCTTCCTTTCTACTGAGAGGAATACCTTCATGTCAAGCAGTGTGAGGAAGCATAGAGATTCCATTGGTCAATCTGCACCTAAGTCAAAATTTAAAAGGACCAGATTTCTTTTTTCTTAGGCTAAAAGAGACGTTGGTCTCCAGCCAGGTCAGCAACCCCTGCTCTCTCAGAATGACATGGACAAGAGCCGCATGTGTCTTCCCACACCTCGCAGGTTATTCATCCTAAAGGAAAGCTCAATCTGCAGGAAAGAATGCAAATGGAATTTTATTCTCTATTTTGCTTTTAAAGCCATTTTCATTTTGAGACGGGCTGTGTGCGTGCGCGTGCATGTGCATGCACACGTGCACACTCACACACACATGACACTTTTTCGTTCTACTTATGGCCCTATGAATAAAGTAAGAGTTTTTAGCAGGAAAATAATAGATGTCCTACTTTGCATGATTTTCTTCAGTTCAAGCAGCCCTGTATCTGGAAGGTTCTTCCAAGTATCAAGTTAAAGGCCATCCAGTTCAAGATACTTAAATCCTCTCTTCAGCACATCTTTGTAAGAACAAAAACTCTGATCATTTGTGATAAGCATTTAATACCCAACGAAAATGGTTGTCTCAGAATGAGGAAAAATCTCCAAAGACAAGGAATGCATTCCTTTCCAAGATACCCATTCAATTTTGAATGGTTTTCAACATTAAAAAGAAGCTTCTTTTTAATTTTTTTTTGGTGGGGGGCACACACGCATGCAAGCAGGGGTAGGGGGCTGGGGTGGAAGAGGGGCAGAGAGAGAGAATCTTAAGCAGGCTCCACACTCAGCAACAGAGCCCCACATGGGGCTTGATCCCATGACTCTGGATCATGATCTGAGCTAAAATCAAGAGTGAAACTTTCAACCAACTGAGCTCCCCAGATGCCCCAATTACAAAGAAGGTTCTTATGCTGAATTTAAAACTACCTCCTTTTTACCTGCACCTCTAGGCTCACAATCTGCTTGAGCTTTTACTTCCAAGGAGAGAGAGATTACGCCCAACACTTCTTCTACATGATGGCACCTCTCAAACCAGACGCCAGCTTGTGTCTACTGTTTTCCCTTCCTCAGAGTCCACTTGTGACTCACTCTATACTCCTCATGTTGTATTCCCATTCTCTCCCCTGTCCCGCCTTCTTCACCTAGAGACATAAGTTATTTCACCAATTACTTCATTCACTCCACGTTTTTAAATGTAAAGTAGATCACTGGCCTAAATTAGGGCAAAAAATGCCATGAGTAGCCAGGCAGGCAACTCAACTGCGTGAAGAATCTTCAGGTAAGGCCACAGGGAGTGGTGATAGCCACGGTGACTTGGAGAAAGAGTTCCCAGCCTGAGCGTTCCAATTTGTATATTTCAAACTACTATGTATGCATACACACATACACACACACACGTACACACACACAACTGGGCCTGCAGTTGTGATATTTGGCTTAAATTACCTTGATACCAAACATTAAGTTAACAGGGTACACCTGAAAATTTGAGGTCTTAAGGAAACTTTCTCTGATCAAGTGAGCAGCCACCTGTGTTTTCAGGCCACGTATCATGAGAATCTCACTGGTCAACTTTTTTTCACTAGTACACTGAAAAAAATATAAACCAAACTCGGCATTCTCTCATCACTCAGTATCTTTTATCAGCTTGTTTTATACCTGAACAAATAAGGTACAGACCATCCCAAAAGATGCATCATGACTGAAAACTAAGAAAAAAAAGTAAAGCTTGTCTGAACAGAAGAAAAAGACCAATTATCACAGAGTATTAAGTTCACATTATTAATTTTTATACTCCATTAAATCTTTCCTTTGCTAAGACTTAAATTATTTTTTTTCAAAAGCATAAACTGTGCTCACCCTTGCACTTGAAAGTTCTAAGTGCTGCCTTCCAAACTGCATGCAAATTGTCTGTCTTCCTTTTAACCACATGGGCACCTTCAAGAGCTGACCAGCAAGGTCCCAGACCTTGCCTGTGGTTGTGGTCCAGTGAAGGTGATGGCTCTCCATTTGTTTGGAGCCATGAAGACAATGTTGAAAGTATCAATTTACAAAACGCTAACCTAATCATCACAAACCCCAGAGCATAGGACACAGGACCAAATAAGGAGTCAAGGGTTTCCTCAGATTAGTGGAAAATCACGTCTCATACCTGTAGGCATTTGGCCAGTGACAGTTACAGCAGGTGATTAATGGCCTTGAAGTTGAAGTCTTCCACATACACACTCCTCTACAGAAGCAGCCCCTGGGGCTTAGCCCCATCTGAACGTTTACTTACTGAATTCTCACTCATGCCTTTAAATGTTCTTTTTACAAATTAACCTTAGAGTTCCACATCTATCCACAAATATTCATTCTCTAGGGAAGAGTAAACAACTTCTTGGTTTACCTCTGTCCGCCATCTTTGATCCAGTGGGCTTGTCTGGGACAGTAAGATGGTCCAGATTGCTACTCAATGAAGAAGTGTCATCACTAGACAAAGAGTTCAAAAATTCACATTCTGATGTGGCACAGCTGTTGTCCAGGGCCTTGCGACTGTTTGCCTCTGAGGGTGCCGGCGAGTGAACATTCACTGCAAGTGTTATAGACTGTCCATCGTCGTCAGCAGCCGCAGAGCTATTAACTATGTCGATCCAGGACTGTCTTTCTCTAGATAAGGAGGAGGCCAAGCTGCCATATGTCTTTACTGTATTTTCCAAGGAAGAGGAAGAACGCGACGTGTCACTCAGTTTGGGTGAAGATGAAGATGCCTGCTGTGTAGCCTATTTTACAAACACAACCAAAAGCAAATAAAATAAATCATGATTCAACTGGCATTCTCTACTTTCCATTCTCAGTGAAGGTACTCCAGTGTTTCAAAAACAAATTATTAGTAACAAATCATTTTTAAAACCATTTACACGTTTTGAGTTTTGTTCTTGTATTTAACCCCCCCCCTTTTTATTGAAACAGCTGAAGACATCATATTTAACTTTTTATCTCAGTGATGCAGAAATAGCTGCGTTAACCTTGCATGAGACATTCATTCTCAGATTTCATATGAGGATTATTTGTACAATCCCTTTTTATTCTGTTTTTTATTCTGCTTGAGTTTGCTAGAAGGGAAAAATTACAATTTTTAAGCATCTTCATTATTTAATTTGAAGACTTTTGAACAGATCACAGTAAAGTTCATTATAAAACTGTTACAAAGACTTGATAAAATACACCGACACATAATTGGTCTCTTTGTATTCAGTATTTCCGTTAGTTACCAAAAGGATTGGGGTTAAGATTAAATTTAAATTTAAATTCCATTCTACTACTTATGGATGTTTAACTAACACGCTGGGGGTTCGGTTGTGTGCTGTAATGTCTTCTTAAGGAATATATTAAAAATACTAAACTAGTCTAAAAAAAAGAATCAAAAGAAAGATGTATGATATTGATATCCACGTGACAAGAACCTAGAACTATGATGCCATTTTCCAAAACTGATTTGTATAGCTTTGAATTCTCTGTTTTAGTATCTAAAAGATCCCCATAACATGATTTACCCCATTCTTCAGTGCTCCCTAGAAATGTAAAAGTCCCCTTTGGGGAATTCTTTGAAATACTGAAGGATATTTTGAACAAAAAGCAGATTGTAATCTATCACTGAATTGAGCAAAAAGTCTTGAGAAAGGTGATTAAGGGAAAGAATTAAGAGAAATAAAAGCCTCAGCAAAAGCAGATGCCAGAAAGGAAGCAAAATATTAACTGAGTGAAGACCATGGATGTGGACGAAGTACATATATTTAAGCCCCTCAATATCATGCACATATTCCTTAGCCCATGCCCAGCTACAGCTCATAACTACATAGATGAAATCATGTTAACTCACTAGCTCTTTAATAATTTAAAACTGTTAATAAACTTTCACCAAAAAAGACAAGAATCCATGTGAAAGCTCTTACTTCATTGAAAAGAAACCAAAAATTGTACCTAGACTATGAGAAGTGGGTTGATGATATAGAATCTTCTGAAAGCAGTTCCTAATAAACGATGCAAGAGCGAACAACATTCTTTGGTAAAATGCTCATCTGTCCATGGAGAAAACATCAATACAACATTGCCAATCACCCTCTCTTGGAAAGAATTCCATTTATTCAGAGATTTTATCTTTGATTCATTTTGATGGTAAAATATATGCCTTCTGTTTTGGAAAATGGTGATAGTAGATGTTAGTTTTGTCTTTTTAAGCTTTTTTTTTTAATGTCCCACATAGCAAAATAAAGATCTGTCAACCATATGTTGTCCCCTCATTTTTAATTTTACTGGTCAATAAACTCCGAAAATCTAGGCAACAGAGACAACAGTGCTCTGTGGGTCACCCTGTATCTCTAATGGCAGATGAGACAGAAAAGGCATTTTATAGTTCAGTTTCATCAGGTCATCCTGTGGGATACCATGTTAATCTTAAGCATTCAAAAGTCCAAAGAAGTGGTAGGAAGGAAATTGTTAGTGAGAAGAAGCTGAAGAACAAACTAAGATTTTCTCCCCAAAATCTCAGAATCATTGCAACTAACTCAGAATGGTTGATTTTGTTCCCAACCAGTATGTCCCCAAGAATTCTGCAGATTCTAAACTCCTGAGTTCTGATGGGAAAAGCTAGTATTTACCCAATATGTGCCCAATTTGCTGAATACTAGACATACGTTGTCAATCAACAGATCCACTTTTTAGTAGCATGACATTATAACATCCAGTTAAGATACCATCTTACCATATATGTCTTATTAATAATGCATTTGTACAGACATGAAAACTTTCCATTCAAGAATATGTCAGTGAGTTTGGGAATCACAGAGATGATTTAACAACTAAGAGATCAAAGATTTGCAATTCACTAAATAAAACCTTAGTTATCTAAAGGAGAGAATGCACACCGCCACCCCCAAGCTGTCCAAATAAATGCCAAGACTTGTTTACTCATTAGAATGAGCTACGAAATAAACATTAACAAAAATACCATTCAGACCTAGTCCTGACACGTTCCCCTATTGTGAGCTATTTTAGTAAAACTTGGCTTTGGTGGAGTCAGCTTCCTTTTCTGAAAAGAGAGTAAGTGTAAGCTCTTCCTGTTGCTCCAGCTGATGCTACTGCAATTTGATTGTAGCAAAATGGGCTGTAAGGAAACGTCCTTGAAGACTGAGGAAAGACATGTTCATTGAGCATCAGAAGTTTCTGGGAAGTATAGTCCTTTCTGAAAGCACAACTCAAATGCTTTCAATCCATTGTCTTTGCTCTTGCTCCATGTAACATTCACAAATTTGATTTTTAAACGGAGAAAAGAGTGAGCAAGAGGGAAAAAGGAAGAACGAGAGAGAAGGAAAAAATGAGGTGTATCAGGTCAGAGGGAGTTTTTATTAGAAGAGAGGCGAACAAAATATGAATCAATGTGAACCTGGAACGCTGTGACAGAGGAAGGCATATAAAAATGTACTTAATAAATAGATACTGTGGTTCTACATCATGCTTCAGTATTTCTACCATTCTGCAGTAACCAAAAGCCACAAGTCAAACCGAGGACATTTAGCTCCGTGCCGTCTATGAAACATCCATTCAGTATACTCATAAAACTTCTCACTGCAAATCAAATGAAGGTAGAAAGAAATGACAGTCTCTCCTCCTCACCCTACCCCTGTTTGACTAACACAAGCCCATCCTTCAGTATCAGTTCAAGGACTAGCTCTCCATCCTTCTGTGGCCTCAGGGCAAGATGGGTACCTCTGCCTGGTACTTCTGGGCCACTCCTATCACACCAGGTAGAATGTCAGTTTATTTGTTAACTAACACCATAATCGCTGATTGGCTTGTTCATCTTTTTTGGAGGGAGCTACCTGAGAGTAGGCTGTTTTTTAATTCTTTTTGCATCTCTGTGTTTTACATCTATACCTGACCTACAGTTGATAATAAATTAATGCCAATACAAAGTGGTCTAGAAGAAAAACAGCCCAGAGTAGTTCAGTCTCTTTGAGGAGTATCCTGAAATTCTCTGTAGAATTGCTACAAAGGATTTATCTTAATCCCAGGATCTATGGGTGACTCAAACTAGCTGTACTTCAAACACTCCCACAAAGTGTTCTCATAAACTCCAACAAAATTATTGTATTATCTATTAGAAGTTAATAATTGCATGGTTGTTCAGTCATTACAGAACATTTGGGTTTTAAATATTTTACTTTTTAATGAGAAAATTAAAGACATTTTAAAGATCTAAGTTTTAATGAAGAGACTATATGTAACTAAATTAAAAATCAATATTGTTTTTCTTATATTCTTCACAAATTCACACGTGATCCTTGCACAGGAGCCATGCTAATCTTCTCCGTATCATTCTTATTTTATTATATGTGCTGCCAAAGCCAACACACTTTTCCCCATTTTCTGTAGAAGATTTTTTTAAATGTAAATTCTAGTTAGAAACATACATTGTAATATTAGCTTCAAGTGTAGAATTCAGTGAGGCAACACTTACAAAATTTTATTTATCAAAGAAGCTTCATTCAAATACTTATCAGCACTACAATCTTTTTTCTCTCTGAATTGTTTAAAAACACAAATTTGACATAGGGAAAAATAGTCTAAGATAGCCACCAAAGCCTGTACTTAGGCAGACATGAGTCAGCCTATAAATTTCATGCAACATTAGTCAAAGTATATTAAAAAAAAAAAAAAGGAAAATACAAAAATAACTTAGGACTAAAAATAATAAAATCAAGTGAGAAAAAAAAACCACAATGTAACCAGCGTTTCTTCCTTTCCATTGGCCACATTAATAAAAACAGATTAGTCAATTGCTGNCAAAGTATATTAAAAAAAAAAAAAGGAAAATACAGAAATAACTTAGGACTAAACATAATAAAATCAAGTGAGAAAAAAAAACACAATGTATACAGCGTTTCTTCTCTTTCATTGGCCACATTAATAAAAACAGATTAGTCAATTGCTGCTAAACCCTAGGAAGTATTGTTTGTATTTCTACCATATACTAGTAGGAAGCATTTCTCTGAAAGCCCAAAGACTCTGAAGAGCACATTCCCACCTACCCCCGTCCCTGGCCTCCCACATGACCTTGGGCAATGAGGTGACAGAGGACCTGCTCCTCACTCCAATCCCTGCTATCCGGTGACCTTGCAGAAGCCACTTTATCTCTATGTCCTAGTTCTTTGACTTCCTCCTCCCACCATTGCCCACACCCTCCCTACCTCAGGCCATCTTCCAAACAATTAGACTGTTTCTCAAACATAAAACAGATCACAATATTTCCCTGCTGAAAATCCTCTAAGAACTGCCCATCACAAGTAGAAAAATAGCCAGTCTTCATTATGGCTGAAAAGGCCTACATGGACCCCCTATCTACCCCACCAGCTGCATCTCCTTCCACCTCCCCATCCAGTCCCATCAATCTTTTTTCTATCCCTTGAGAACAGGTGCCTTCTGACTGAAAAGCCCTCTCTGTGGATTTCCAGTTAGCTGCTTCCTTCTCACCATTTTGGTGTTAATTCAAACATCAGCAGGCTCTTCCCTGATTGTCACAGGCAACGCAATGTCCTCCCTGCCCTCAACTCTGGCCACTCCCCAGCACATCACCCCATTTTAGCTTCTTCATAGCATTTATCCTTACTTGAGACTATTTGTTTGAATCACAAATTTATTATGCCTCTTCCTCAACTTAGAACTTAAGATACTCTGCGGGAAAGATATGGTCTATTTCAATCCAGCATTCCCTTGTCTGCAACAGTATCTCCCACACGGTTCCCACACACACGCACACACAAGCACACACACACACACACACACACACACACACACACACACACAAATGCATTAGCTGCCTGCCGGCCTGCCTGACTCAGATTTATCAAGAGGAACAAATGGGATAACAGGAAAGGATATTCTTAATAAAAGGTAAACCTCAGCTTGCAAAGGTTACTTGTGATAGTTCTATTTATTTCTCTTTGGCTTCCTCATTTGTAAAGTGCAGAACATCAAAGTCCAATGAAATCATCCTTCCTAAAGCCATGTGAAAGGATTAGACAAGTGTAAAGTAGTGACGTTCTAATTCACATGGGAAAATATGCGTAGAATAACAAATCTGCAGAGAACATGGATAAAGTGAAAATCACCCACTTGCCCATTTATCGGTCCATTAAAAAATATTTATTTCATTTCAAATATGTGTGAGGCACAGTCATAAATGCTGTGGGTAAGGAAAAAGATATTGGACACTGCCTCTGACTTCAAGAATTTAGAAATTAAATAAATAAACCAGAAACACAAAATCTGTACTACAAGGCAAATGATAACAACATGAAAAAGGTGCCTCCTCTCTCCAAAAACAGTGTACTAGGAACAGAAAGAGTTTAGAAGAGGGCAGGGTTATCCCGATTTCGAAGACCAGGGAAGCTCTACTGAGGGAAGCCATATTTGAATGGGAGAAGGTAGAATGGGGTGGGAGCAAATAGTTCCTATGAGTGGAGAAACTCCATCAATACAAGTACAAGAGCAGGAAAGTCTGGAAAGCTTTGGGGAGACAGCAGACAGTTTACTGGGCTGCTGACAAAGGAGAAATCAGCAACAAGACTGTAATGGCAGCTTGACGTAAACCCAAGGTCCTTAAATACCACACAAACAAGTCGAGAATTAATTTGATAAGGCACGAAGAGCCATTGGAAGGTCCTGTGCAGGTGAATCAGTTCCATCAGAACTGCGCTTTGGGAAGACTAATTTGGAAGTGGGTTTTAAGAGGAGAGGGACATTAGAGACAGAGAAAGAAAAACAGCCTCCTATCTCTAAGACTCGGGCAGGAGCTATTGCAGACCCCACCTGGGGCAACAGCCATGGGAATGTAAGGCATTAGGGAGGGGCTGGGGCAGCCCTAGGCTTGTGATGGACCACCAGAGAAGGAGCCTGAATTACACTGCTGAAGCAAAGGGCAGAGACACAAACACTAACTTCACAAGTCTTGAAATCAGTTGAATGGTCAACCAGAGAGCTTGCAATAACTGTTTGTATCTTCAGAAGAGAGGATGAATGTTCTTTCTACCTTTACCTGGCTTGTATTTGTAGTCACTCATCATTTTTCACACAACGATCTCACTTGTAAGCATTTCTATTATTTTATGAGTCCATGTATCAAAAGATCAAGTGACATTTTGTCAACAACTGGGCAACAATCATACTACCAAGATTAAATGTGAGTTTCTAAAACTGATTTTACCCCTTTCTGTGTTTAATCGTTGATTTCCTCCTCTGCCACTGACCAAGGAAGCACAGTTTACAGGATTTATTTTTACTTACTGCTTCTTTGGTTGGCTTTAGATTATTTTTTTTCATCATTTGGACATAAAGGAATTGTACTTCTAAGAAGCATCAAAACATGAGGCCTCTCCTGTTAAAATAATTTGTAGGAGCTGTTTGAAGCTGGGGTTTTAAATATTTATCTTCTCAGATTTTCTCCTATCTAATCCACCTATTGGGTGGTCTACCAAATTCAAAATCCACCCATTCCATTTCTCAATTATGCCATGACCTGCATCACCGCCATCTCTCACACTAGACTACTGAAAACCTCCCTTTTCTTTGCTTCTGTCGTACCCCTACCTCCCAGGGTCTCCCCCACAGAGTAGCCTGAGTGGTCCTTTTAAGATGGAAACTGATCATATCACTCCTCTGCTCAAAACTCCCAAAGGTTCTCCAAGTAAAGTCCTTAACTGGTCCTCAGCTCCTACATGGTACGGCCACCTCTACCCTCCAATCTCATATCCTGCTATTCTTATCTTGGCTCACCCTGCTCCAGCGACACTGACCTCCATGCATTGCCAACTATGCACCAAGGAGATCTTAGCTCAAACTCTTCCCTTTGCTCAGGAAAACTCCTTCCCCGAATATCCACCTGACTGCCTCTCACACCACCTTCCAGTGGCTTTGCTCCAACCTCAGCTCTCACTCAGGCCTATCCTGGATGTTCTATTCACAGCCACAGCCCTGCCCCCAGCACTCTGGGCTCCCCTTATTCACTGTGCTCCACATCTACTAACACAGCAGATAATTTACTTATTATGTTGACTGTTTATTAGCAGTTTCTCAACTAAAATTCTGATTCCACAAAGAAACAAAACATTGTGTTTTTTATTCACTCATGTCCCCAGTATTTAGAACAGGGGCTCTCAACAAATTTGTTAAATGAATGAATAAGCATATAAGCATAGTTGAGGGTACCAATGCTTTTTAATAATTAAATGTAGAGGAAAAATACGTATAACAGTTTTAATGATGGTTAAGCTCTTAAGTCACGTTGTAACTTATAACATCACTGAATGAAAAAAGTGAATGAAGTCAATTCCTTTTCTGCTCTTTTGTGAGTTTCAAAGACTCATAAATTTCAAGGAATCACGGATACTGACTTCTACAAAGAATCTTCCAAAGTGAAATCTACAGAGTCCCATCTAATTTACATTTTTTTAGTAAGCCTATCAAAAGGTCTCCATTTCTCATTTCTCTGTGAATAAATGGAAGTCCTATCCATCCTGTGAACTCTTCTCAAGAAGAAGCAACATACACAGGGAAGATCCTGAAGTATTCTTTCCAGTCTTGTGGAATGAGGTCCTACCCATTAGAAGCAGAGGTCCAAGTTGGTCTGGGGCTGAAATCTTACGGTTTGTAGCAATTGGAATTCTTGGACACTGAATTAAATTTTTAATTCAAGAGTTTAATTTGGGGAGATAATTTTCCAGAAAAGAATGATTTTCTACCTTTGAGTCATCATTCCAAAATGAAAGTTCATTACCCAAAATATTTTTTTTAAAGTGAGAACTTAGAGAGGAAAAATCTTCAATTTGACTTATACAGCTCAGTCATGGTTAGCCTATGCCAGACTGAGCCAAAACAAAATGAGTTGATTCATGCTCTGGATAAAAGTTCCCATAAATTTTTGAATTTTAATCTGTTTAAATAAAAGGTTTCAATGGTATTTTAACCAAGTGTCTTACATGTCTGTTTTTCAGAAACAAGAGGAAACAAAAACAAAATCTGCCTGGAAAATATGTGAACAGGAGGAACATATTCTGTTTCTAAGGAAAATAAAATATAACTGTTCAACATTTATCTATTTCTAATACATTCTTTCAGAAAAAAGATGTTAGCCTTAGTGGCCTTCCAAAAAATGCTCAACTTAAAACTGTAAGAAATAATATTTGATTGATGACTCAGAAAATTCTGAAGAATCTTCCCACTTCAATGCCCTAATGTTTTGATGGCCCCCTGCATCCTTTCATTTCTTTGTTTTGAAACAAGTGTTCTCTGAACTTCTACTATAACTTCAGGTAAGACCATCATTGTGTAAAGCAATTGAGTCATGATCTCTCATCTACAAAGACAATCCAGTTCTTTTACTTTCATCAAGTCGAGTTCTAGATTCTTGAAAATGCTCTTAGTAATATGTGTTATGAGTATGCCATTATTAAAATGAAAATCATAGTATTTTAGAACTAAAATAAATCATATAAGAGTCATATGGAGGATTTGGATGTGGATATGGAGTCATAGAAGAGAAGGAGAATTTCAGGAAGAGAAGGCTGGAGGACCAACCAAATCATTGTGTGTTACAGGTTAAAGTAGGAGAGAGAGAGAGACAGAGAAGGCAGAATAGACAGAGGGAGACAGAGACAGAAAGAGAGATAGGGAAGAAGAGACAACGACAGAAAGACTGAAACAGAGAGAAACTAAACAAAAATATATTCTCTCTATTAAACCAACAAGCCACATCTACTTAGTCTTTTCTAAATTCAGAAAGTGATTTTAAAAGAGGAGGAAGAGGGACGCCTGGGTGGCTCAGTCTGTTAAGTTGACTTTAGTCAAGTCATGATCTCACGATTCATGAGTTCAAGCCCCACGTCGGGCTCTGTGCTGATAGCTCAGAGCCTGGAGCCTGCTTCAGATTCTGTGTCTCCCTTTCTCTCTGCCCTCCCCCACTTGCACTCTGTCTCTCTCTGTCCCTCAAAAATAAATGAAAATGTTAAAATAATTAACTAATTAGTTAAAGAGGAGAAAGACTACACTAAGGAAAAGTTACAAATATACTAAGATAGGATATATTATAAGATAGGATATACTAAGATATAAGATAGGATATATTATATTCTGAGTCTAGCTCAGAAATCAGTCTAAATTTTGCCATATTGAATGTTTAATTTTATTTATATCTTGCTTAATTTTGGCTGGTCCTATTTCATAGAAATTTTAATATACATACTCAATCAACAAATATTTATTTCCGGACTTGGATGCTAGCCGATTAAACTAAAAAAGGGACCACAATTCTCCACTGACAGTAGGCGACCACCACGGAGGTCATTATTTAAATGCCACTTAATATCCTAAATCCAGAAACCGGCAAGACACAAATAAAGATGAAAATTTCATCACACAAATAGAAAATTCTGATGAAAGAGGTCTGGGAGTAGGAGCCACTGTAACCTATCAGAACCTAGAGTTACTTGGGTTCATGGATGGACAAGTGCAGTGACAGAGGCAGCCCGGGGCTCCCTTCTCAGGTGCTCCATACACTCCTTGTGTGACCAGGTCAGTCTACTTCCCTAAACCTCGGTTTCCTCATCCATGAAGTGAGGATAGCAGCATCCACTTCCTCATGACCTAGCAATAGGAAACAATTTTTTTAAAATCAGAAACAAAAGCATGAACCACAACAGAAATAATGGATAAATCTGACACGTTGAAATCAAGAACATCTGTCTATGAAAAGAAACCATGAAACAGAGTTTAAAGAAAAATTAAGAAGCCATGTAGCAGAAAAGGAGATGTGCCTTACTTCTAACTAAGGACTAATGTATAGAATAAAAAAGAAACTTTATAAATGCAAAATAATAATAGTAAGACAGCTAAAACTGTACTAAGGACTTTAACAGACTAAACAAAACAGAAAATCCAAATAACCAATAGATATGAAGAGATGCTTGCCCTCATTAGTAATCAGTGAAATGCAGATTATATACTACTACTTTTCAGGGTCATTTGGGAGGGTAAATATATTTAATGCGTCTATATAAGTCCTGCCACATGGTAGACAGAAAACTATAAATAAGCCTCCGCAAAGATCCTTACTTGAATCCTTTCAGGGAACATCAATGTAATGAATGCCAAGGAGCTTCCAAATACAGAGGAACATGCCATAGTCTTATCTTAACATCCATTAGTAACCTGAACCTACACTAGACGCTTCCAAAGCTAAGAATCTAACTTGGACTTCTCTCTAGTGAATACACAGAATCATTCCACATGCAGATTGAATGCACTGACCTCACCCCTGGCTTCCTGATACCTTTCTGACTCCAGCTTTCTCTTTGCATATTGTCTTCTTCCCCTTTATGTTCATTTTACATGATTGCAGCACACACACCCAGGACAAGCACTTTTATTCTTTCCAAAGACCAGAAAGGTATAAATAAACATTACGGAACAAATCTTTGCAACACTGGCCCACCACCTAGAAGCCCTGTGCATTACCGCTGAGTTTGTCATATGTGGGGGTTGCTATGGCGAAGGCTCAACACCCCCCTAGAACAGTACTTGCTCTCTGGCAGGTACCTTAATTTAGCCCATTCAAAAAATTTACTGGTCAAAGTACATCCCATGCAACCAGAAGGAATGACATCCACACGTTTCGTCATGACCAGCAGACTAGCCACGTTTGTACGTACCAAAGGAGAGAAAGTCTCCGCGGAGTAAGGAGGGGGTGGTGTCTCCACAGCTATTTCAGGGTCTTCCTGTTCGCTCTCACTGTAGCATTCTACACAAAAATGAAAATGCTTACTGTTTCAACACTGTTGTCACGTATTCCATAATGCATGAGCCGAGGTTTTTCTCCATCTGGCTATTGCAATTCCAATCTGATTCAGAAAGGACTCATCTACTGGGCTACCTGGTGCCAGGGGATTACATAAGAGGGGAAAAACTGACTAGCCATACTAGGGTTTCTGCCCTGAAGAGGATCCAATACATAGGAAGAGTATGGGCCATGGCTGTCTTCAATAATTCCTCAAAAGACACATTGAGTCATATACCACAAGAGCATAAAATCAGTAGTGATTAATTTTGATCACAGGAGCCATAATAACCTGAAAAGGGCAGGAGAAGTAAACCATTAATGATGCACACAGAGTAATGTACCAGGTCAAGGGTGCAGGCTAAACCATGTAGATGGAGTCCCTTTAGGGATGTGAAAATCAAAGCTGAAAGTTTGCTTGAGGCCATATCACAGAAGGCCTTACATACCAGGATAAGGAGGAGATTTTTATGCAGTGATTTTTCTTCTCACAATTGATAAATGCACTTCAAATATACAATGAGCATTTATGTCATGAACAAGAGGACCAAGGAGATAAATCGGATACTGATTTCACACTCTGGTGTTGTGGTTCTTTTTTGTTTTAAATCAAATTGCCACTGTCCCATTTCTGAATTTAAGCTTTTATAAATTTTGCTATCCAAAGATATAACTCGCTACCTTTCAACTGCCAAGATTTATATGGTCTGAGCATTTCAGAAATAGTGTCAACTCTGTGACCCTGATACCGACAGCCTCCCTCTTCTCAATATTCAGGCGTAATTTCCTCATTAAGAAGATTTCAACTCCTCTAGCTTTTGAACCCAGAGAGCTGCAAACTGAGCTAAAAATATGGCCTGTGTCCCCATCTGACATTCAGGTTCTCAGCACACACCTGGTGGAAGTATTAGAACATCAGAGAGGAAATAGTGGGATGAAAGTTACCTGTCTAGATCATGACAAGATCACGTCTCTGAGTAAGAATTCGGTAAGTGGAGCAATAACACATTTGCACTGGCAGCAGTTTGAGATGTCAGTGAAGCCTACAGCTGCTAACGTGTGGGTGAAGTGTAAAAGGCATTCTTAGCCAGCACGGGAAGTTCTATTCCATGGTGGCGAGTCTGTGTGAACACGGCTGCCTCGACAAATCTTGAGATGATTTTAAATGCCAAAGTATGTTTCATTAGGACAAGACTATGCATAGGACTTGACATTCTATCTCCATTCTATCTCATCCTAATATTCTTGCTAAATTTTCAGAAATTTAAAATAGAACATACCTTCATCCTTTGTAGCAGATTCGCGATTGATTACAGCTAATCCAAGCTTGTTTAACCACCTAAAATTCAAATAGTAAATAAATGCTTGACCAAAGACATTGGTCCCCTTCCTATCCGCCTTCTCCCCAGGCCCTGAAGGAATATCTGTGCCAGACTTTATAATGCAATTGTCATCATTTTACAGTCAGTCTAAAATTTGCAGTAACAGTGTAAGTCTTTGGTACTAAAACCTAAAACCCCAATATTTTCCTTACTCAGGGCATTCTTTGTTAAAACAAGAAACAAGGTGGTCCATTACCCAGCTGGTTAAGGTAGACAACTACATTAAATATTCTAAATATATAAACAAATATAATTTTTGGCATTGTGCATTTGAAATTTTTAGCAACAACCAGAACCTGTATCAGGCGCCTGGGATGGCTCAGTCATTTAAGCTTCTGACTTTGGTTCAGGTCATGATCTCACAGTTCATGAGTTCGAGCCCCACATTGGACTCTGCACTGACAGCTCAGAGCCTGGAGCCTGCTTCAGATTCTGTGTCTCCCTCTGTGTCCCTCTCCCACTTACATTCTGTATCTCTCTCCTTCAAAAATAAACATTAAAAAAATTCTTTTTAAACCTCTATCATTAAATTTAGTTAACTGGACCATTCAAGTTCCATCTCTATAATTCTGAAAATGCAATTTTATTCCACAAAATTTAAAAAAAAGAAAGAAAAGATGATCCATTTTTAAGCCAGGATTTTTATTTTATTCAATAAAAGATCTGACCAGAGTCTGAAAGGCATTCCTAAGCTGGGGAAATTTTAAACTCCTTGAAGAATTTTTTATTAGGCAAAAATTGACCATGTCATATCTTCTTATCGATTTACCATTTTACTGGCAATAAATTTCAACCAAACATCAATAATAAAAACAGAACTAGATAAACCTTCAGGAACTCAAACTTGGCTCATGATTTCAGGCCACTGGAGTTCCTTCTCAGGGGGTTAGCCAGGAGCATATTATACTATACAAATTCTTAAAAGTCACAAAATGGGTCTACTTCATATGTTCCTAGCTATCTAAACTTCTTTTTAAAGGGAAAATATTACTTTAGGGTAGTGATAATATGATTGATTTCTACTTCTCTCCAGTCTCCTAGATTTTTAGAATGTAGTTCATATTTTACATTCACATCTTTTTGGGAGAAACCAGTACACTTGATAGTGGCCTAAGTCAACCAATACCAATGAAGTAACAATAAGAATGCTGTGCACTTTCTGACTCACTTGTGCTTTCATTTCTTCTAGTCCTGAGCTGCCTCATGAACTAGTCAGCACGCTGCACCCCGCCATTGCATAAATACTCCCAAGTTTGCAATTTTCAGCATATTAGGAATCCTTACCCAACCCTCAACCTGCTATGGTCTTGCCATATTATTTCCTATTAACAAGACATATATAAATTTGATTTTTAAAAACAAATAAAATAGGCCGTTCTGTAAGAAGGAAGATGAACTTCAGCCTCATTTAAGAGCCACTTCAGCACCATGATAGACATGAGCTCTTTAATGGCCACTTAAAACCAAACTGATACACCGGCCAGATCAGGCCACAGGAACCACAAAGTGTTCATCAAGACCTGGTAGAATAATGAACAGCCAACAACAAAAAACAAAACACACACACACACACAATAATAAATCACAGAAAAAAGACAAATGACTAGTAAAGAAAATAGAAAAAAATTATCAGCATCAATAGTATTTTGGGAAATGCACAAACACAAGAAAATATTCACCACCAGATTGGCAAAACTTTAAAATACCATTGATTTACGGAATTTAGGAGGAAACATTCTGATCCTTTGTTGAGTTGAACATCAAAAGTGAGACGGCCAGTTTTAAGCAGGCAAGTTCATGATACTAATCAAAATGTAAATATCCACCCCCTGTACCCAACAATTTGAATGATAAGTCTATCCTACAGACCATAAATAAATGTGGAAGAATAAACTCAGTAAGACTTGCAATGGCAAAAAGAAAAAAAAAAAAAACACTGATACAATATAATCATCTATTAATAGGAAAATGAACCAAGTATGGCACTAATTTCATCATTAAAGTCAATGTTATAAATGAAGGTAATAGAAGCCTTGTGGTGACCTGGAAAAATCCTCACTTACTGTTAAGTGAAAAAAACAAGTACAAAACAGTATGATTAGTCAGATTCAATGTACTTTTAAAACTATCTATTTGTACATGTGCAAAGAAAAGCATTAGGAAAGATATGTCAGTCATACTGTTCAAAGTGGTTAATCCTAGGGAGAGAAATTGAATTGGAGGGTGAGGGTGGGGGTATGGGAAGGATTTTACTTTACATCCTTCTGTATTACAAGATTTTTTACAAGAATATGTTTTAGGTGTCATTTAACTAAAAGAAACATTTTAAAGTACAATTTCATAAACTGATCAGGCAAATCACAATGAATGTAACGGTTCACTTTTAAAATAACAAAATAAGCTATTCTTAGTTTATGCCTCATTTCATAATTCTATACTGATCCTCTCCCCCCTCCAAAAAAAAAAAAAAGCATCTAAAAGTGAAATAGATAAAATTTTTTAACATATCAAGACAAAATAGTTTTGAACTCAGAATGCCTGAAAAGGCATTTCTAAGTTCCTTCCCAGAACACGGAAATACAGAAATATGGCAAAACACACAAATATTGACAATGAATATTCCTCTCAGCACTTACCCCAAACGCATGTCCTTTTAATTGCCGCCATTAGCTACTTGCTATGGAAAACGTGAATGCTTAGAATCTTAGTATTTGACTGTTTTCTTTCTAGAACCCACTGGCTTCCAGTACCTCCTTTGCTAAGAACAGTTTTTTAAAAACATCAAGGCAGTAAGAAAATTTCTATTTGTGGTTAAATAGATGGATGCACAAAAAGACTTATATTTACATAAAAGAAGATGACAGATGTTTCCTGGGAGTTTGTTGTATATTAACTTGATGTGTTGGAGGAGCAGAAGTGTTAAAAATTGATACACAAAACAAGAAGGTTCTTCCCACAAACACTGTCTGAGAAAGGCAGCTACCAGCCAGTCTTTGTTTAGAAACCAACTCTTCCACGACCTTAATTACTTACCCCTGTGCTTGTAAATTGAGGGTCCCTGCAGAACACAGCGTTTCTTTTAAACATAATTACCTTTCCCTTCATCGTCCCTGAGAGAAATGTCACCACCCAAAAATGCAGCTTCCCAAGGAAGCGAACTTCTAAAACAGGACTCCTCTCCCCGCACGCCACTCCCCCAGATTCTCTGCCTCTCACCAAGAAATACCCAGCTATGTTATTTACTGGCTTAAACTGGCCATATCAATAATAAAGGGAGCTCTTCAGGTGCTGCTGCAGAAAAAAATCTTTAAAAATCTTTCGGGAGAAGGGAGTTAACTTGGAGGCCCAAAGAGATTCCACACTGATGGCTATTAATGCCACCAGAGGCCAGAAAGGACCATTGGGGATTAATCAATGGCTCAGCTCCAGGCCGACCCTCAGTATCATGGGGCTCCAAGTACTGCTGGGTAAGACGTTAAGCCTTTCACACACCACTGACACACCTATGGCTTGCTAATCAGTTGGATTCAGTTACCAATACAAATTAAAAAAAATAAAGAGCTTTGAGTGTGCGGTTTTTTTATCTTCTTTTGGGCATCTGCTTTTCTCCTTCTCAGGGGCCTTGAGAAAGCCAGCAGGAGAAAGCCAAAATCAAACAGAGGGTAGAAACAAACGTCTCTCTTCTTTTAAGTAAATACAAGTCTTGTCTGGAAGAATTAATTTGTCAATTCGTTGCCTTGATATTTAACATGGGCTTTCCCCCAGGTCTATAAAGAGCCATTCTGCCTTCATCTGAAGGTCATGGTGGGAGCTCAGGGAATAGGTGACAATGTTTCTAGCTAGATGAGGCTGCCAGGGGATATCCTGCAAGAAGGTGTGTGTGTGTGTGTGTGTGTGCGCACGCGCGCACGCATGTACATGCACATGCTTACACATGTTTGGTGAAAAGCAGCTTTTTTCTTTAGGTTTCTAGAGCAAGAAGGTAAAGAGAAATTATATAGAACAGATGGGTCAGGAGATCATTATGTATAAACAAAACAGATTAAACCATAAGCTCTTTGAATGAATTATGTATGTATTCTTTTATTTCTATTGCTCAAGATCTGCTACAGCGGGGCACATAGTAGGTATTCCATTGACACATTTTTATTAGTTATGTAAAGGTAATAAGGAACACTGAGAATTCTGAATAGGGCTTAAATTAAACAGAAGGCCCACTGATGCCTCAAGCACCTCAAGTATCTATAGCCTCATTCAATTAGCAGCCATTGTGATCACACCATCATCTAAACCAGTAGGGGATGGAGTGGTGCAGGTAGTACGTGAGGCATATATTCCACTTATTTAAACAGGAAAAAAAAACAGGAAATGGAGTCAGGGATATAAAATGTTATGTTAGATGTACTCCAAGCAAGGACACTTTGCAAAATTTTCAGGATAGGACATGGATTAGCAATAAACACAGGGTTCATCAAGATAATTACATAGCATATTAGAAATGCTATAGATATTTTTCACATGGAATTTTCTAAAAGCTGTGAAATCGGTCACAGACTTTCAAGCCTTTATCCCTGTGATGCTGATTCTCATTGTAACATTTTCTTATAATGATTTCTGTCTTTTCCTTTCTCAACTTAGTGGTTCCGTCTGAAGAATCTTATCACTTCTTCCTAAAATAGCCATTTTGATATATGTAGTTCTCCAAAATGCTTCCAATTGGGAGAAGAAAGAACACTGTAAGTGCTAAGGAGATTAATTTTTAAAGCAGCAAAAAATAAACAAAACAAGAATATGAACAAATGCTTAAAATTCAAACACCTGACCAAAATAATCTACTCCCATAAAGATTGGATTTAGCAATTCTCTCTACTTACACACTCATTTCCTGTGCATTTTCAGCTGCAAAATAAAAGGTCTTGATCTGTGGATGGCTGACCTTAAAAGCACTTGAAAGGGAGAAAGCAGAGAAACATTAAAAATTAGAAAAAATTAGTTTAGCTGTCAATGGGTTTGAAGGTAAGTCAAATATAAATATGGTCAATTCATCTGCTTTCTTTGTAAATTTACAAAATATAATGTAATTACATTAAGTACCCACTGCCTAATCTCTTCATGTAGAGAGCAGAGAATTAATTTATCATGTTGAGACACCCAGAGTAGGCATGAGCCTTGGCCAGCCAATAGTTTCTACTTAAAACATATGGGCATAGTCTTTTATTTTCATTTGCTAACTGCTTTGCTATAAAGAGACAATAAAGTAAAATTTTCAGTCTTAGAAGTATCACTTCAAAATACTCAGATCAACTCCTTAAAGCAAAATATTTATTCAAATTCAAACAAATACATACAAGAATTTTATATGTAAGAAAATAATCAAGTATAGAACTTCTGTACTCTGCCAATACATCAAAACCTGTATCCAAGCCACCCTCTATGAGTAAAGGAAAAGCATAAGGTATATTTTTAGTTTAAAAGAAAAGTATGAAACATGGAAGATCAGCAACAATAAAATGTATCCCCTTTACCACTAGACCGGAAGTCTTGCCGTTGAGGCCAGGGTTTTGGTAAATAACCAGTCCAGTCAAAACCACGAGAATGAACATGACCTCATGTATCACTGGCTATGTGCAGCACGATGACAGTGGAAGAGACTTAGAGCCAATAATTTTGTTCATTTTCTTAGAAAAACCTAGTCAATTGCCACTACCAGCAACACAGGTCAATAGGGAAGCGGCTTCTGATGAAACAGAAAAAGATGTCAAAGGTGGGAGAAAGAATAAGAACAAAAAAAGGTAAAGAGAGCACATTTGCAAAATGCATCAAGATGCTATCACGAAACAGCATGGGGATGGGAGCATGGCTAGCTGTCTAGAGCCAGCTCTCCTGCGGTTTCTAGGCAAGCCCTGACTCTGCGCTGTTTCCTTCTCAGCAAAACAAGGACCGTAAGCTGGTGACTTGTTTGGTTCCTGTCTGTTCTCAATCTTTTGGACTTGAATTATATCAGGGTATAAGCCCAAAGTCTAAGCTATTTCAGAGCATTCAATATCCAGGATGACAATGTGAAGAACTAAGAAACAGAAACTGATGTTGGTATCTTATCTGTAGCTCTGTCTGGTCCTATTGAACTGGTCATTCTCTTTAGAAAGACAAAATCTTGACATTTGATCTCCCAGCTAAATCTGGATGGGAGCTTAGTTTTCAATTCCATTTCAAAACTATGCCATGCCAAGGCTCCATGGGGTTTTCAAATCCATCTGTTCCACAAAATGAAATTCCAGACAACAAGAGGTTAAAAGCTTATACTGTTATTTAGGATACCAACTCATAAAGTTCAAAATTCTCAGACATTTGGGTGTTATCGTCACTAACTTACAAATCACCACATCACTCGAGAAATGAAAATTATTAAAGGAAGTTATTCTGCCTCAGAGTTTTGTAGAAAATGATAAGACAACTTACTGCTTTTTCTTGCATTCAGATGCTCTCTCCACAGCGAAATCGGGCAGGTTGACAAATCCATCAGCTTTCTCTGCCTGAGAAAAATGCATACAACAGATATAAATAAATGCATCAATCCTGGTAAGTTTATAGAGATCATATACATTGAATAGAGATCGTATAAATGAAAGGAAAGACAATCAAAAGATACATCCCTGAATCAGCATTGGACTTATCCAGATACATATTTCATGAGAGAAATTAATATTCTCCCAGTAGGTCATGCAGAATCGTTCCACAAGAAGTAACATGACACAGCTCAGGTATGGCCAATGTATGGCATGCACAGGACCCCACCCACCCTTCTCCCGTCTTCCTGGGAAATTCCAGCTAACCAGTCAGAGCCCCACTCCCTGCTGAGTTGGTAGGCATCCTCAGCATCATTCTCGTCGCCAGTAAGCCAGTTCTCATATTCCAGTAAGCCACAAGCACAGAAGGTAGAACGTAATTAGCATTCTAGCTGATGGTCGACAAGAGGCCTGACTCTAGACTTAGCAAATCAAGGTTCATATCATGGATCTACGCCTTACCGGTTGTTCTAAAACCTAAAGTTGCTCAGAAAAATAAAACACTTAATAGTTATTCAACAAACATTACTTCCTCTCCCAAATCTATAGGCTGCTCCTTGGGATTAAACTACAGAGCCGTATCTTGGAAAATCTCAGTTCCATAATCCATTCTTAGAAGGTGTTTCTACAAAGGAAAGACTATAGGGGAAAAAATGGCCCTTTTGGACATTGCATGAATGTCACCTCCAAACACCAAAAATTCTGTAGGAAATGTAATTATTGTTCCACCTCTCTAAGAATTTGTTAATCTTTATGAACAAAATGTAACTGAGCAACAGGAGGCTAGATGGCTTGTCACCGATCCTAAATCTTCCTCCTTGTACGCTGGTATCTCTGAGTACAGAAATTCAGTCCACAAGATTAATCATAAATCATTCGGTGCTTATTGGCAGAGGAGTAAAACCTTGATCTTGATAATACAATCTTAAATTTAAAAATCTACTAGCTATTAACTTGGCACCATGGGTCCTCTTACTTCATTTTATCATCCTGCATCTCTTTCCCTTATCTGAAATCAGAGTGCAGCTCCTACTTTTTCTTCAGAAAAGTTAAACTGTGAAACACTGGAAACTCTGCCTGTCCAACCTTCCCTCTCCTATGAGTTAATCTATCCAAACTCTCTGCTTGAAATGCTTTCATGTAAGGCTCAAAAGTCAATTCTAAAGGGAAATTCCTTCTTATAAAATGATGTATATATGAATATATATATATTCATTCAACTCATCCCTCTGTTTTTTTAATATTTACTTATTTTGAGAGAGTGATAGAGGGGCAGAGAGAGAAGGAGATTGAGAATCCCAAGCAGGCTCCAGGCTGTCAGCTCAGAGCATGATGCGGGGCTTGAACTCACAAAACAGGAGATGATGGCTTGAGTCTAAATCAAGTCAGAAGCTTAATTGACTGAGCTACCCAGGCACCCCTCAACTTATTTATCTCTTGATGAACTGTTTACCTACTAGATGATGGCTTCACCAATTCTATCTCAAAAATAATGCAAAGTACTTTAAAAACACAGAGTGTGGATCAACTGTCTCTACAATGCACAATACTTCCTATGAACTCTCATCAGCATTATATAAAAGTATAGTTTTGGAAAACTGTTAGGCTCTAGCAATAAACCCCCATGATGAGATTAGTGTCCTTATAAAAAGAGAGAGAGACCAGAGCCCCCCACTTCTCTCCCCCTCCAAGTAAGGTTACAGCAAACAAAGCAGGCAAATGCAATCCAGAAAGGCCCTCACCAGGCACAGTCTATCAGCACCTTGATCCTAATTAGACTTCCCGGCCTCCAGAACCATGGGGAGTAAATGACTGCTGCTTAAGCCACCAGTTGAAGGTATTTTGTCATGGCTGTACAAACGAGGACACTGCCCAAGAGTGACAAACCCAACGCCAAACGTATTACTTTATGCCACAAAATGTCTGGTCTTCTTTCTCCTGTGTTCTCTACTTCATTGGATGGTTTCACTTTCTATCCTGTTGTCAAAAGGAAATGTGGGAGATGTCTTTGACTTTTGATCCCCTTCTCACCCTGCATGCAAGCAATCACCGAGATGTATCACCTCCTGCTGCCTCTGTCCCAGCTCTTCTGTGCCTGCACCACCTCGCTCCTCCTTCAGCTCACCACCAACTCTCACCTCACTGACTGCGAAGTCCTGCAAAGCCCTCTTCCTCCAACTCTATCGTTTCCTCTAATTTGGTGTCCAAATCACAGTCACAGCAAGTCTTGACTGCCTGAACACCCTTCATGTCACTTCTCTCATTAAAACCCTGCACCGTTCCCAGTGGCCTTTGGACAAAGTCTGAGTGCCTTAGCAAGAGTAGGAGAGACCTGTCATGATCTGCTTACTTACACAAGCTCATCTCCTCCAATGCCCCTGCCCCCTCACTCATCCAAAAAAACAAAAAATTCAAACAAAGAAGAATCATACTCCCATTTGAGCTGAATTAGAATTGGCATCAAGTTTTCAGCATTATTATTCTCTATCAATTTCTTTTCAGTACACAGAGCCCATCTTAAATGATAACAATACAAAGCAATCAACAAAAACTGAAATATACTATATATATACTATGTATATTGTATATACTGTATACATATAGTGTATATATATACATATACTGTATATATATAGTATATATATATTGTATATTTCAGTTTTTGTATATATCTTGATATATACTGATATATATATATAATTGTACATTTTCATTTAGGTGGATTTTTTTTCATGCACAAGTGAAATGGCTGACAATCTTTCAACTAAGAACCGAAATGAATTTGAGTAAAAGATACTTTGTGTTTCCTCAGTAAGTCTTTCCTTCATTAGCAAAGGCAGCTTTTCATTGTACTAAAGACACTCATGCTGTATTCAAAATCACAGATAACTGTGTCAAAAATTGCCTTTGCTTATTTGACTTGCAAAAATGCCTTAAAAATGACAATCACTTTGGGCAAATCCTAAAGGAATGACAGCCTTCTCCTCTTCCTCCACCTTCTTCCCCTCCTACCCCGTCACAGCTCTTGCTTCTTGTTACAGTAACCAAAATAACTGTCGCGAATGTATCCTTCCTCCTCAGTAATTCCGAACTTTCTGAAAAGTTACTTGAAAGTTCTGCATTGGTACCTGCAATGTTCCCTCTGTGTCCTAATGTAATAAACTCGTCTCTCGCCAGAGCCATCAAACCATCCTCTGACCATTGTGCAAACCTGCTTTACCAAGTCTACCTTAAATACTGAAGTGAGACGAGGCTTTTCAATTTCTGGTTTGCTGTTCAACAATCTCAAAGGTGTTCCTCCTCACATATGAGTCCATCCACTTTCCCCAGCAGCTCTGATTCTGTTCATCTCAGTGGGATCTCATCTGCAGGTGCTGTATTAGACAGCATTACAGACACCTTTTTATGAAAACTGTTAATGTTATGCATTCATTTGTCCAACAAATATTTAAGTACCTTCTTTGGGTCAGGTACTGTGTCAGATATTTGGGCTATATCAGTGGACAAAGCAGGCAGAGATCTCTACCCTTGAGGGGAAAAGAGACAGTAGTTCAACAAATAAACACATTTAATAACACAAATGATGCAGCCAATGGCAGACATTAACTAGGATGGAAAAAAGTAAAGTTGAGTAGCGCAAAGGGGTTCTGGCTGTAAGTAGGACAGGCTGCCTTTCTGCTCAAAGATTTACAATGCCCTTCCGATCTCACACCCCTGGATACAGCTCCACAAATCAACCTAGTTCTGACCTTCACCAAAACATTTCCCTGTTCCTCTGAGCCTGGAATAGGTACGTTCCTCTTTGTGCCCAGGGCTGGGCTTTACTTTCATACTTCTCTTACTGTATTTGGTTATCCAGTTACTTCTTTGTTTCTCCAGTAGACTATGAGCACTTTGAAGGAAATAATTTTGTCATTTATTGTCATATCATTAATACTCAGGACAACATAGACATTCAATACATATGAAATAAATAAAGAATGAATGAATGACAGGATCACTGTCTTTTGCCTCCAGCTATAAAAAAGTGCTAAAATGAGATGCAGAAGCCACTTTGGGAAACTGTTCAGCAATTTCTAAAAAACATAAACATATAATTACCATGGAACCTAGCAATTCCACTCCTAGGTATCTACACAAGAGAAATGAAAGCTTATACCCACGCAAAGGTTTGCATGCAAATATTTATAGCAGCATTATTACCAATAGCCAAAAACTGGAAACAATTTAAATATCCACCAACTGGTAAAGAAATAGTGTGTATATTCATACAATGGAATGCTGTTTAGCGAACTACCAACAAGTGCTAAAAAGATGGATGAACCTTGAAAACACTGTGCTGAGTGAAAGGCAGATATAAGAAGTCACATATTATTGTATGATTCCTTTATATTAAATGTAGAGAAAAGGTAACCTATGGAGACAGCAAGGAAAATAGTGGGGTTGCCTGGAGTTGGGGGTGGAAATGAAGATTAACTGTAAACGGGCATGAAGGATTTTATGGATGTCATGAAAACTATTTAAAACTGATCCTTATAATGGCTTCATCACTCAGTAACTTTACCAAAAAATTACCGAATTGTAAATTTTAATGGAGTGAATCTTATGATTTGTAGAATGTATTTCAAGAGAACTGTTTTTAAAGATATAAGATGCAGGGGCACCTGGGTAACTCAGTCGGTTAAGCCTCTGACTTCGGCTCAGGTCATGATCTCACCGTTCATGGGTTCCAGCCCTGTGTCCAGCTCTGTGCTGATAGCTCAGAGCCTAGAGCCTGCTTTGTATTCTATGTCTCCCTCTTTCTCTGTCCCTCCCCTGCTTGCACTCTTTTCCTCTCTCTCAAAAATAAATAAACATTAAAAGAAAATTTAAATATATATAAATGTGTGTGTGTGTATATATATATATATATATAGGGTCAAGGAAAGGTTGAATACACACACACACACACACACACACATATATGA